GGGTATGTACCCCGCGTCTTGGACTTTAGTTGAACGGGAAGGGAAGTGGACAACGGGAGGGGGGAGGGGGCCAACTGGGTAGGGGGGATCTCGCGCGGGAATTCCGGTCTTGCGTCAAAACTAACGTACCTCTGATACTTACAGGCAGGTCGAAGGAGAGAAGTGTGTGAGAGAGAGGCAAAGATAGATACACAGTAGAGACCTGACGGAACGATAGGGCCGCGAGGGAGAGAGAATCGAACACACTTCCCTCTTTCGGGTTGCACGACTAAGCCCGCGGTATCTCGCATACCAAAGAAATGGGGCTCTGTATTGCGTCGTCGTCGTCACCTTGATATGGCAATATGGATACCACATACATTCCATTGCGACCCTTCACGTTCGGTCAACTCCTGTCCTGCACAAGAAGCTGAGACCGAAAAGGTCCCACGCATGCGCTGCGTGCGCCAGAGAGAGGATCAGAGAAAGCCAAGTGTTCTATGTCTTGGATGGGAGAGCCTGTTATCTCAAGTCACCAATCCGGATGAGGAAATTCGATATGTGTTTTGCCGCCAAGCTTCCCGTGTACATAGACTGCCAATGCATGCAACCCCCGAGGGCGTGCTTTAGGTACCAAGTGTCGGTGTTCGCTAAAAGGCTTTGGGACTTGCCTATTTTCTTGGCTCGACGATTTTTCGATTACCGTGGTACTAGCCGTGGCATCACACAGTCATCATACGCACACCTCTCACTCACACACTCTCTCACTCACTCACTTACCCGCTCACTCATCACTCATATACGTACAATACGCACGTACACACCCAAAAATTCTGCCTTGACTGCCCATGAGGTCGGCCCGTTTTGTCTGCCGGTGGCGATCGTCCGTCCTTTTCAACGCCCTCGCTGTCTCACAAGATTCGATGTGCAACCTGCCAAGACTGGATCGTGCTTTGGTAAGTCGTCAATAGCCACGAGGAGGCCAAGAGACACCGGCACTTGGCAGTTGACTTAGCATTGCGGCTCTCAGATGCCAAGTGACGAGATATCGAGTCTAATACAAAGTCTAATGAGTGCGAACTCAAAATCAAACAAAATCAAGTGAATAAAGCGTTAAAACAAAGATGCGATGCTCATGGTTTCCCCTTCTTGTGAGATGACGAATGAGAGGGCGCGGTCCTTTCATCTCAGCTGACACGACTCCAACTCTAGCCTCCGTGCCCAGCTGCGTTCGTGCTTTACTTAGTAACTTCACACATAAGGTAGTGTGTGCTAATTATGTGGTGTTCTCTCTTACTCCAAATATTTCAACTGATCCTATTCTCGTCCCGTCCAGTAGCCATTGACTTTGATCCCCCAACCCTGGTGCACATGTGATCAACGTACCGTTTCTTTGCCACGCCACGCTAGGTACTATTCACAAGTCCTTTTCCTGCTATCCCACGCGGGATGGGTACCAGTCAGTTTTACTTTGAGTTGGATGGACGTCTGCACCCGACTAGTATCCAGGGACCAGACCTGAAGTTTTGCTTGTACATGTAGCTTATCATGTCCCTTTATTGGAGAAAAGTTGGAGTTTTGGTCTAATGTCTTCCTTGTCCCTAAGCTATTTGGCGTTCATCGCGGCGCGACTCCGCGCGAGGGAGCTGGCTGGCTGGTTGGCCTTGCTCGACGTAACGCAGACCTACCCAAACTCCCACCAATCTGAGGCTCTCGACACCTTCCATGGGCTGTACAGTGATCAAACTGCATTAGATCCGGTGTCATCGGCATGTGAGGGGATACCGAGTGTCGTCCGAAGGAGGGTACGGCAGTTCCTTGCCTAGATTGGGCCAAGTTGTGTACACACGCAGGAGCCCATGATGCTGCTGCGGTGGTGTTTTCTTGGCCCACGCCTCCCCCTCTTTCTCCTCTTGCCTTTTTTGCCTTCTCTCTACACGTATTGGATGGTACAGTTATCCGCCTACAAGGTTCGGGTCGCTATCCCATGTGGTTGCTGTGTTGTATTGGGGGACGGGCAACTTGCGCAAGCGGGCAAGCTGCAATGCGCGGATCAGATGCGATGCAGCAAGCATATAGAACACCTCCATCAGCGTGGCGGGAGGGGGAGGGGTCTGGCTGAACTACATTGTTATCTCTAGGATCAAGTCAAATATCGAATAGTTGAGACCGGATGAAGGTGATGACTTGACTCTTTCTTGAACAGATATAATCATCCCAACTGCTCTGAAACCATTTTGTCTGTTCCCATCACATCAGCCACCGACGGCCCCGGACACTTCTCTTTCCTCACTTTCCCTTTCTCATCTTTTCTCAAACAACGGCACTTTAGCTCCTTTCCTGCTGTCAAGATGGAGAAGATCACCCGAAAGGTCGAAAAGGTGAAGGACGAGTTCGCCACAGATGCCAGCATCGCACGAGCTCGCGACTTTGTCGTTCAGGGGGCCCCAAAGCTTCCATCAGCCGCAGGAGTCTACCTTCTCGACAAGGTCCCCATCGTCCAGTGGCTTCCTCGATACAACCCGAAATGGCTCATCACCGACTTCATTGCCGGTCTGACTGTGGGCGTCATGCTCATCCCGCAGTCTCTGGCTTACGCAAAGATTGCAACTATTCCCATTGCCAATGGCCTGTACTCAAGTTGGCTTCCAGCTGCGTTTGCAGTTTTCATGGGAACCTCAAAGGGTTGGTTTGCAGATCTATTTTGACTATTTTTTGTGGTACTTGGTCTCTGACTTTTGGTTCGATGTATAGATCTTTCAACCGGACCGACCTCCATCTTGGGCCTCCTCACAGCTGAAATCGTGCGTGACCTCAGTGAGGAAGGATTCGACATCTCAGCCATTGCCTCATCCGTTGCCCTCATGGTCGGAGTCTACTCACTCGTCATCGGTCTCTTCGGCCTCGGATTCCTCCTAGACTACGTCTCATTCCCAGTCCTCACCGGATTCATCTCAGCCGCAGCCCTCGTCATCGCCTTTGGCCAAGTCGGATCCCTCGTTGGCCTGACAAACGTGCCATCCGGTGTCTTCAACGTTATTGGCGATGTCCTTCGTCGTCTGCCAAAATGGGACGGCGCAACGTGCGGAATCGGTTTCGGAACCCTGCTCATTCTCGTCATTCTTGAGAAGGTGGGCAAGAAGTACGGCAAGAGACACTTTGCTATCAAGCTCCTCGCCAATTCCAGAGCCGTCATTGTTTTGGTCGTCTTCACTCTCATCAGCTACCTCGTCAACCGCAACCGCGAGAAGTCAGACTACGCCTGGAAGGTCAGCCAAGTCAGCACGCACGGTATCACCCACCCCATCGTACCCGCCTCGAACTTGGTCCAAAAGGTCGCTACCAGAGCCGTTGCTCCCCTCGTTGCCAGCACTCTTGAGCACTTGGCTGTCGGCAAGGCGTTTGGCAGGAAGAACAACTACCAGATAGACCAGAGCCAGGAGTTCAACTACTTGGGTGTCGTCAACATTGTCAACAGTTTCTTCAGCACCATGCCTGTCGGTGGTGCCATGTCTCGAACCGCTGTTGCCTCTGAGTGTGGTGTCAAGAGTCCTCTGACCGGTGCGGTCACCGCTGCCTTCATTCTCTTGACGCTTTACGTCTTATCTCCGGCCCTTTACTGGCTTCCCTCTGCAACTTTGTCGGCAATCATCGTAAGTTTCCATTGACCGTACTCAAAAAAATCCACTAACAAAAGTTATAGATTATGGCAGTTGTCCATCTCTTTGGTCCTTTTTCCTTGTTCTACAAGTTCTGGCGCATCTCCTTCCCCGACTTTGTTGCCTCAATGGTTTCTTTCTGGGTCACCATCTTTGTCTCAGCCGAGATTGGCATTGGCGTTGCTGTATGTTTCCTCCTCTTCACAATACGACTTTCTTTCAACCATAAATGACTCTTCAAATCAAGGTCGCATGGAGCATCGTCTGGACTCTCCTCCGTTCCACCTTCGTCAAGCCCGAAATCCACTCCAGCAGCGCAGAAACCGCCACTTCTATCCCACAACCCATCACCCGCATCACCAGCGGCGGCGGTCGCCAAGTTACAGATGAACGCATGGAGAACGCGCGCATCTCCATCCCAGGCGATGCCATCGTCGTCGACTTCAACGACGCCATCTTCTTCCCCAACGCCGAGCGCGCAAAGACATCGACGCTCACGGCCATCAAGCTGGTATACCCGCGCGTTGAGAGCAGCCTTAGCCAAGACGACAGAGAAAGACACTGGAGCGTAGCAGCGGAGAAGCGCCTAGAGAGGTTAAGAGCGCAAAAGCAGATTCGTCTCAAAGAGACGCCGCTTGCTGTTGTTGTATGGGACTTCACCATGGTGCCGTTTATCGATACATCAGGCATCATGACGTTGAAGGAGCTCAAGGATGAGATTAAGTTGCATTCTGGCAAGGGTGTGCAGATTCGCATGGTTGGCATGTCAGACAAGGTTCGGAGCAGATTCGTAAGGGCCAACTGGCATTTGGTCGATCTGGAGGAGTGGCGAGAGGAAGACGCGGACCTGGTGTACCCGACCATGGAGACTGCAATTTGGGATCGTGATGACGGCTCTGGAGCGGACATTTCGAGTGAGAAGAAGGGCTGAGCGTCGGATGAGCCGGAGCTTACAAGCCCTGTCTCCTTAGAACAGGCTTGATTTTAGCTTGGCCGCCCAAAGGTGACGGGAGTATGATTCATGAGTAACATAAATATTGCAGCTTACCAGATACCTATTTCTTACATTTATCTTGACATTACACAATCTTGCACATTGCCACAGGTTCTCGGCGTTGACCAAATTCTGGTTTTTGCTAATTCTTTAAGACGAAATTCTGGTTGATTGCAAGACAAGCCGCACTTGTATGGCATCATGAAGCTTCTTGAGAGGGGAAATCTCTATTACTTTGGGAAATTGCGTTTATGCTTGATTCATTCGGGGAAACTGACACTCCATGTTCTTTCCATTCAACCATGCCCGAATCAATTTTCAGTTGCTGTACAATTCTTCAGCTCCCCATCCCATGTTTCCTTTCAATCTCAAGACCAGAGAACAGCATAGCCCACAATGGCAAGGACAACGACGACGAGAGCAGTACAAATAGCCAGATTGTGTCCCAGGGCATCCATTTTCTGGTTTCGGGTTGCCTGAGAAATGAACATCTCATCATATCGCATAATCTTCATCGTCAGCTCGTCGCATCTGTCCTGAAGCTCCTTGTGTCGCTGGTAGTGTTCGTCCTCAGAGGCATTACTGCCGTGCTTAGAGGCGTCACGGGCGTCCTCACAGAAAATTAGGTATTGAATTTGCTTGTCTTGGGTGGCTTGAGTCGTCTGGATTTGCTGTTGGGTGGCCTCGATCTGTTGTTGGCCTTTGTCCATACGCTCGACGTTTCTGTCCGTTTTCATTTGGCGTCCTTCAACTGCCTCCACTCGGCTCATCGCCGTGCGGTGATAGTGCACCGGATCTGTCTTGACTTGGAATTGGTTCATGTCTTTCTTGAGCTGATTGCAAGTTTCCTCCATCTGCGCAACGCGTGACTCTAGCATCAGCATCGCCGTGTACTTATCGGCTGAGATGTCAGACTCCGTCTGGTTGTAGCTCGTATCATTGACTACAGAGTTCTTGAACTTGAATGTTGGGAGCTTAGCATAGAAATGGATTCCAGAGAGGACACAATACCTGCTGGTTCTGATGGACGGAGTCCTTGCCCTTGGCCGAAAGAGGATCATCCTGTGTGAGTTTCTGCGCCCAGTCAGCTGGAGAATAGATATTATGCTGGTACGCCACACTCGAAGTTCTCAATGTCTGCATCTTGCTGCCTTCCTGAACCCTGATCATCGACGCCATACCAGGCAGGTCCCCGTTAAGCGCACGGAGCATCCTGATTTACCTAACGGTTTGGTTCTAACCATCTGCCTGGCGCCCCCATCCCCATTTAAGGCCTGGATATTGGCACAGGCGCGGGCAGGTGTGGTTTCCAAGGCTTCCACGCCACGCGGTGGTTGAGAATTGGCGCCTCTCACCTCAGGCTTGATGGTAGGAAGAGCGGCCAATTCTTCTGACCACCGCGTGGCTTTCTTCCAAGCTCTCCGCAGGGACACCCGAAGGTGTCATCAGGGCCGTCCCACAAGAATCACCCCCAAAACGGGAGAGTAGGGAATGATCTCGAGCTGCTCTATTAGGGTATGACGACGACGAGACCGAACCCTCACGAGTCATCCCCAAGTCCATCGAACCGGAGGTTGACGCCACGTCCCGCACCCGATATCCGTCACTCGAAGGGCGATGCCCCGGCTCAAAGTAGAGTCGGTGACCGGTCCAAATGGTCCTGGCATCCACACATGCCTCAAGCTTGAGATATCGCCGGACTCCCGATACGTCATTTGCTTAGGACTCGGAGGGCAGGGCAACCACAGGAAGCGCAAGACGCAAAGAAAAACGAGGCTGGGACACAATGTGAATTGTGGACGTACCTCATTGCCGTTGTCAGAGTCGACCTGTCAAACAGATGTCAGCAAAAGGGTTCACATGTTTTGAGGATGATGTCGAGGTCCAACTTACTGAATTGTCTGCCATATCATCCTGGCTCTCGGAATCATCGAATGAGTTGACCTGTGTCTTCACCCAGTCAGCAAGGAAAACCTTACTGGTAAGCCCAACTCGTCATCCTCTGTTGTGCCACGCCATTGAGATCCTGCATCTTTGCTGCCGCCACCACAGCAATCTCGCCAAGATCGGTACTTCTTAACATCCATGGAGAAACACTTTTGGCTTGCGACACCTAGCTACCACGCGGTCCAACTTTTGACGGAAGGACGTTGCGGTTAGCTCAAGAACGCGACCGTGAGGAAGCGTTCCTGAGAACCCAGACATCGATGGGGACCCAGAATGTCACCTAGAAAAAGATCCAGATGTCGCGAGACTAGTCCTGAAAGATGGCTGGGACTGGCTCCATGAACCCGCCCGAAGGCGGAAGTTATAAGGGGGCACCTTTCACAGCCACACCCGGAAACGAGAGAGTAGGGTGTACCTCCAAGGCCCGCTACCCTGCTTGCCCAGCAGGACGGATTGGTGGCAACAAGTAACCGATTGGACCATCCCAGGACTTCCAAGAGAGAAATCCGAGGTGGTTGAGACCATACCGCCCGAAGGCAGAACCGGAATGAAGAAGTAATTTGCCCCGACTGCCCACAGAAGGGTGACTGGCCTGTCCAAATGGCCCTGCCACCCTGGCAATTCACCTCTCCAATTCCGGGCTCCCGACGTCTCGCCGAGAACGAATTCTCGGCCCGCTTAGGGTCCAATCGGCAAGACGGGCAGGTGGGAAGAGACACGAGAGAAGACGAGTCCGGGACGCAAATGAAAAGATTGCGGGCTTACCATGGGGCTGCTGCTGTGCCAATGCTTCATGCTGGGAACCTCGATCTCGGAGGGAGGAGAGGAGGCCATCGCGAGGAAGATCTGGGTGAAATATTCGTCAGTGATGAGGAAAGAAAACCCGAGACTGAGATGAGAACTTGCGCTGAATTTCCAAACAATTCGGGCGAGAGAGATGAGAATGAGCCGATAATGACATGGCTGAGGTGAGGTGGAATGAAGAAAAGCCAAGTGAGGGGATTGGCAGAGGAAGAGAAAAGAGGATCGAATGAAAGCAAAGCTGGAAGAAGGTCGACATTGCGAAGTGGGCAGCCAGAAAGGCGGTGGTGTTGGATTTGAGAAGAAGAAAAAGAAAGAGAAAGGTGTGAGGAAGAGAATGAGGAAGAGGAAGTGAGCTGTGGCAGACGGAAAAACCAACCAAGTGAGTCTGCCTGACCACCCACCCTCACGTGAGGACGGTCTGAATATTTTGATTTTCGAGAGAAAAAAATAGGACGCGTGGGGGATGAAAAGTTGATGAAAAATTGGGAAAGAGGGGGGGGGGGGGGGGGGGCGGGGGGGGGAGAGGAGGGGGGCAAAAAAAAGGAGCACAGGCCGAAGCGGCCGGGGGGGTGAGGAAAGGGAAAAGGAAGAAGGAAGTAAGTGTGGAGGAGGGAGGGAGGGAGAGGGGGGGGGGGGGGGGGGGACGCGTGAGTTGAAGAGGAAGGAGCCAGAAAATCGGTTCCAACTGCTCAGACTGACGAGGTGTTGAGAAAGGAAATGGAAGAGTGATATTTGCGAAGGGAAGGGGAAGGACGAGTAAAAGAAGAATGAGAAGAAGATGAATATCGTACCTTTGATCAAAATCATGAGCGGCGCGTATCGCGAGATGAAGCCGTCGCCTCTTGTTGGACGAAGCTGCTTTGTCGATGAGAAAGTGTTGTGGTGACGGAGAAGAAGAGGAAGAAGAAGAAAAAAAATGAGAAGACCCCGAGGGTGGAAGAGGGAGAGAAGTTGGGGGTTAGAGGATGTGAGTTGGAAAAAGAGAAATCTCGGGCAGACCAAGGTGGGAGGGTCAAAATGGGCGCAGGGCGTAGACTTGCTGCCTCACGGGTGAGAATGAGGCATCTGGTGCGGTTCTAGACGCGTGTGAGAAGATGAAGTCGGAAAGGTGAAGTAAACAGACGCGGCTTCTGGCTTCAGTCGAAGAAGGAGCAGACTCGAAGGGGAATCTAAGGAGACGAATGGGTCAATATCCAGGAGAACAAATCGCACGCCATCCAAGAATACGGGATAATGGAGATCAGAGTAACTGACCGAGAACGATGAGACGTAAAATAATGAAAATACTGATCTCGTGGATAGGACTACCCTTCTAGTCGCGCTTTGGCAACTGGGTGTCTGAAGTTGAGATTTGCCTTTACCAGGTGACGACAGGTCGAGGTACGATAACAAGACGTGATTCATTATTCGCAGACGGAAAAACCTCAGACAAACTATTTCCCAGCCCTAATGACTGTATTCCATTCGTATCCGCCGTTCGTCTAGCGTGCTTCAGGAGAAGAACGGATGGCAAACATTACCAACAGCAAGGCAAAGGAGCTAGGGATGACACATCTCGAGCTTGCGCATGCTCCACCGTCAAGCAATAGATATCTCCTAAGATTGTTTCACTCATGCTCGTCCCTAGTTCATTGACGATGTTTTGGCCAGAATTCTGGTGATTTCACAGGGTCTCTCCTTTTCCTTGGCAAAGTGCGATGGGCATCTCCTCAAGTCTGGATGCTCGCATGTGGCCGGCGCATTGCTCCCAAATCAGACCAGGTGATCCTTCTCCGTGTAGTCTATCTCTTCCTCGTGTTTTATGTCGTCTGTTTTCACCGCTTGACGGGGGCATTTGCATTTGACCTAGCGATTCTAGGTACTCAAGGGATGCCCATCGTTGCCTTTGAAGCGTCACGTCACGGTAAATCGCCGTTTTCTTCATTGGGCAAACCGCAGTATCGACAGCCGCGAAATTTCTGCTTGCCCAATCAACGGGAATTTCGGGTTTCCTTGGACTCGAGGGTAGCTTGATTGTGCCAATGTTATTGTACTGCTCTAGAGCATACGGTGCTGCGGTCACTGAGCCTAGCGGATAGCAAATGCTCGTCAAAGGCATGTCTTGGCATCATTGTTGTTCCCGGATCTCATCACCCTAATTAGCCTGACAGAAAAGCGCGTTGTTGTGATAACTACTAACCTTAGGCCGAGAGAATTCATGTCGCGTCGGATACCTATTCGCAAGGCAGGTGCCAACGGGTGGATGGTCGTCCCCTCCTTCTACGTCAATTTTACAACGTCGATACTGGAGGTTCGATCAGTTCTCGCCGCATGGCTGTCAGCTTCTTACAACTTTGTAGTATTTGTTTCATACTTACTCTGCAAGACTATCTGTTCAACGAACAATTTGATGTGGTCAATGAGTTTGCGTAATTGGGGAAACTTGACGGAAAGCACAAAGACTTCCGTTTCCTTCGAGCAGAACTGGCCCCAAAGCTTACGCCTAATTAAAGCAATCTCAGGGAGGCTCAACAGCGCCAAACAATTACATTATGGAATTTCGAACAAAAAACATTTTCATAATCAATCGGTCTGTTACACTACACGCAGGTGACAACAGAGCCTACCGCACAGCAGCCTTGATCATCAGCTATATATGGCAAGTGTGACATGAGATCTGCCATTTTCATAGATGAAGATGGCCGTAAGTCAAAACACTTGGGGATCAAGTCCACTGTAAAACTTAGCTGGCACTCGTGTATATAGTTATACCATGATTACGCTCAGGAATTCTTGCTATCGGGTTTGTGTCGGGTTTGTTCGTCCATACCAGCAATTCTGTCAGATAGTACCACTAGCCCCTTCAGTTCTCATCATCATGCCTCTTGGTATCTCCTTCAAATCTCTCTTGAGCCTTTGCTAAGGCATGTTGGTTATCCAAGGAGTCTCCCATGGGCTACAATGAAGGCATTCAGCCACTCGAAGGACACATACGTACCCCTGAATGCCCTCTGGAAAACGTGATTCACGTTCGTTCTCTCATGAAAGACGCAATGCTGTTCACCGCTGACCCCTAATTGGAAAAATGACCTACCTTCCCCTTTCACTGCTGTATCCCGATCAGGACAACGTTGGAGGTGGGTCCTTGTCCTGGAATGCCCCCATCACCAACTTCACCTTTCAAAAAGTATAAAGATTCCTCTCCCTGGCTCTTTTCTTCCAATCCGCTTTCTCTCCTTACCGCACACAAGCTTTCCAGACTTTTTGCATTCGTCTCTCAACTCCTATTCACCACACAACTTGCCTTTTTCACGGGCCCAAGAGCACGCCTCTGTTATGAAGGCATGTTCATGTAGAGCCTTTTTTTTCTACGTTATTACTGGGGAAACAATCTGACAATCTTGAATAGAATCACTTGATCACCACACGAACAATACACAACTCCTCAAACGCAATGTCTCACGGCACTTCTTCTATGAGCAGCAGCATGGCAGTCATGGTAAAGCCAAGCACCTTTTGATACCTGCAGGTCAGCACTAACAAAGACTACAGACTTCTGACACCGAAGACGACTTCGTTGTTGTTGACTCCAATAGCGAGATTGAGAAGCTCCAGAAGGAACACAAGCAAGCCATGAAGGCTTTGGTCAACACTCACCTTGCAGAGCTGGCAATGTTGCGGGACAGCTGCAATAGACGCGCCGAGGATGCGATTCGCACCGCTGGTCTGTCCATTGACCGCAACAACGAGCGCCATCAGGACGAGGTCAGAGATCTGAAAAGGGCTCTCGCTGCCGAGCAGGCCAAAGTGGCTCATCTCATGACGGCGTGCCCTCCTCACCTCAGAGGTAGTGCTTCGCGCAGCTCCCAATAGAGATGGAGCCGATGGGAACCTCAAGTATCCCGCCATTATCTACATAGTTCAGTAGTCAGGCCGGGATTGTTTCACTCGCAAACAGGAGATAACCGATACAAGTGATACATTGAGACGGTCAGAGAAAGGTCGAAGAACCTCGGCAATAACATCGTGAATCGGTTGGTGACATGGCGCACATGTGAAGGTACCTATCTTGCATTGTTGGCTGATGCAAAGACATAGTATCTAGCAGGAAAGTCGTTCTACAATCCGTCATGGCCCACGATGTTTCCCTGAGTACTCGATTGAAATTCATATCTTCCTTTCCCCTACGGCCATGTTTTCCAGTGTATCCATGCCTTTAGAAGGCAACAAACTCGTCTAGGCAACGAGGGTAAGTTGGTGTCTTCTGGGCTCAATTGCTCCAAGCCTTTTGCTGCAGAAGGCAGTTTATCGCCCCGAGGGCTTTCGTGGCTTCATCCAAAGGATACGTGCTTGTATTGGTTGATTTAGATAGGGAGTCCCCGTGAGCCTTCGTCCTTATTGCAAGATTGCTTTTCGTCCATTAGGATTTGTGGAAATCCCACCACTCTTCGGACTGATGTGGACTGTGTGGATGGCAAATACTTTCAGGACAGTCCTTTGGAATACGATCCGATTCCAGTTTATAGGGTGTTACAACTTTCTTCGGTTTAACGACTCTTCTCTACTTAGTCACACTTCCCTCCACATGCACCACGAAGTTTGTAGCACTTCGTGTCCATCTCGGACATCAACAACCTCAAAGCAGAACCACGCCCCAGTCATCTTTATGACCAGTACGAGTAATTACGCCAAACCCCATACTTCAGGGTTCTTTCTGGCGAAGAATATTTCGCAAGGCCGAGAAGTTTGCCACCTCTTACCGATCAGACGAGCGCAGCGAGCTATTATCAGATCTTCTTCAGACCGATCCTCACAAGCAACCAATTTCGTGGCTTCTTCCGGCACTACAATGGTCGACAACAACACCTCGACCTACAGTGGTCTCAAGGTTGGTTTCACGCCTGGTTTTAAAGCTCCCGGGTTCCTCGCGGAAACATCCCCATTGAGATGATCGCCTTACCTGCCCGAGCTGTTCTTCAAACCAAAGCAAGCACTGACCACGCGCAAATACACACAGTTCATCCAATACGACGAGAAAGAGCACGAAAAGCTCTTCACGCAACTCATGGCCGACGACGAGAAAAAGGCCACGGAGCGCAGACTCGAAGGCAAAGACCTCATCGCCATCCTCATTACCTCCCGCGAAGAAGCCCTCTCCGAGCTAGCCCACTTCCAGATCCGCGCCAACAAGATCGCCCAAGCCAACAAGCGCGAAGTTTCCGAGCTTCACAGCAAGATCTCGGTCTCTTACGATGTGGCGCACACGAGCTACGCCCAGGCTCAGGAGTACTACGGCCACATTGATTACTACCGAAAGGAGAGTGAGCGCAAGGACACCGTTATTCAGCAGTCGCAGCATGAGCTGGTGACTTTGCAGGCACAGCTCTTCCAGAAGACACAGGAGGTGGCGGAACAGCAAAGTCAATTGGATGAGGCTGTGGCCAAGAATAAGGAGCTTCTTGCTCAATTGGAGGATGTTCGCAAGAAGGTCGACAGAATTATGAGAGCTTCGGAGGTTCCCTCTCCTTCTCCTTCGATCGGCTACGATCGGGAGCGCAGCATGACGTAACGAATACTTTGATCTTTCAATGAGACATGGATGATGGTCTACGATGGAAACCTCACAACACAAGGAACATGTTCTGGCTTGGAGGACTTGGCTTGGACGGATGCTTCTGGAATGAAGGCTACTCCTTTGGCGAAGTAATAAACATACTGGCCGGCAATGAACTGAATACCGAATCATCGGAGAGAGTTCTTGATTCTCTGTGACGCTCCATCTCATAGCATCTTGAATTTCTGAATATCTATTCATGGTATCAATAGGTCGTACCTTGTCTGGGGCTCCAGTCGTCAAATACACAGCCACACCACCGAACAATCCAGACCGGTACCGCCACACGCCACGCCTTTCCCCTGCATACCGTGGGCCCCACCTCCTCAAAGGCGGTCACCCGATCGAGTCACCCCGGGACCTTCGTACACCGAGGATCGGCGGGGCAGTTTCTCGGTGAACAACAATTTTATTCGAGAAACCCATCCCACCCTGCCTCGCAAGTCCCATCGCCGACGGTGCATAGAACGACAGTCCTACCCGTCGCAACTCCAAGAACCCGCGACACTCGCAATTGAGCTACCTTCACCCGCTCAACCACCACACAAACTCAGCCAAGATGGCGTCTCAAGAACAGAACATGCCGTTCATCAGGAACCTGGCCTCCAGCGGTTCGTCCCCCGTCGCATCGCAATCTTCGGTCCCGAACCTGCCGTCGCGAACCTCCCAATCTTCCAGGCCAAACCCCCAGAGCAACTTCAACTGACTCCCTCGTGCCCCCGCAGACCGCAAACTCCGAACCCAAGCCCTGACCTCCCTCCAAACCTTCCTCGGCTCCCACCGCGCCCTCTCCCACCTCGAAGCCCTCAAGCTCTGGAAGGGCCTCTTCTACGCAATGTGGATGTGCGACCGCCCCATCCCGCAACAAAACCTCGCCTCCGAGCTCGCCGGCCTGACAGCCTGCCTCCGCAACGACGACGTGCCCACCTGGCTCGCCGCCTTCTGGGAGATCCTCTCCAAGCAGTGGACGGACATCGACGTCCTCCGCATGGAGAAGTTCCTCCTCCTCGTCAGACGCACGTTTACTTCGGGACTTCAGTGGGTGAAGGAGGGCGAGTACCAGGAAGCGAGGGTGGATGCGTTGCTGAAGGTGTACGGCGAGTGGCCGTTTGAGCTCGAGGGCGACTTGAGAAAGGTGCCGATCGGGCTGCGGCTTCACGGGCTTGATATCTGGGTTGACGAGCTGGATCGGTTGGAGATGCTCGAGGAGAAGGACGCCAAGGCGGTGGCGTTTGCCAAGAAGCTGAGCCAGCTTGTTGAGCCGTTGAGGAAGTCACCCGTCAAGACTGTGCGAGCCAAGGCCGCGGTCGTGGTTGAGGACGAGAGGCTGCCGTGGACGGAGAACAAGGCTACCGAGGAGGCGGAGGCGGCAGATGGGGATGATGATGAATGGGGCGGCATTGACGATCAATAGAGGGGGTTTAGCACTCCCCTTGGCTTCGTGTCTTTGCATGGGATGGTGAACACGGCGTTGGTTGGATTTTACAAAAAGAAAGGGAGGCATGTCATTTTTGATGGAAGGATTCCGCGTGGGTTTCTGTTCCATGGGAAGCGGTGGTGGGAACCAAAAAGAGAAATCAGGTATTATGTGCAACGCTGTACTCTATAGTATACAGTGATATCCAATGGCTGTCCTTTTTGCCATCCTGGCCGCCTGCTCTTCCAGCCCGGCCCGACGATGGCTGTACTCTTCCCGTCTTCGTCTTGTTCTATCTGGGTATCTCGACTTTTGAAGAAACAAATCACTGCTCCCTACTCCGCTCCCGCTTCCGCTTCCTTCGTTTGCGGCCAAAAGGCCGTTGTGCCATATCTTGGTTGGCCGTCTCGAACTCAATCACAGCCGGTGACAGCATTTCGTCTCCCTTCACTGCGCAGATCTGGGGCGATCTCTTAGGGTAGGGACATCTTCTCCCAGCCCAAGGGACCGGGGGCTTCGTACTTGCCACGCTTCGAAATGACCCTGCCCAGACCGTGGTGAATCTCGGCCTGGAAGGGCTCAAAGGGCACCTTTTCACCGTCGATGCTGATGTAGCCGTCCTTCTGGTTCTTTGGAATGATCCTGTAGGCGGAAATCTTGCGGTACGATACCAAAGAGTTGTCAAAGAATTTTCCATTCTCCACAGACATTAGCATGCTCAGTTGGGCGCCAACTGACATGTCTCCGTCGATGCAGACAAGGTCCATCAGACCATCATTGGCGAGAGCAGCGGCGAAGAAGTTGGCGTCGGCGGCCATGTATGCCATCTGGGGTGGTCAGTACGTAGTTCTTTCGGGGGACAATATCCAAGAGGCGGGCATGTCCAGTCAGACACCAAGAAAGGTGAGGCAGTGTACTTACATTTCCGCAATAAAAGTTGCCCATCTTGTCATGGGGTATCAGTTCCCATCCGTCTGGCAGAGCATCGTTGATGGTGCCGAATCTCAAAGGCGGCAGTCCCTCCTGGTCACCGAAAGGACTCGAAACAGCATCAGCATTCTCCGCTCTCGGAGGCTCGCTAGCGCCCGAATGTGTTACCGACGCGCTGCGCATGTACTCCTTGTAGTGCTTCTTGACGCCCGCTTTGTCCTCGATCTCGACCTTGACAGCCAAGTCGCAGGGGTAGCACTTCTTTTCGAATATTCTGACCAAGAAGCCCCAGGTGAAGCGCGCGCCGCCCATCCACCGCAAGTGCTCGGTAGCCAGGTCGCTCTCGGCCACTACGCCAAGGGCCTGACTCAAGAAACTGAGGGTGCGTCGGTCGCCCTGTGTGATGCTGACCAGATCCATTGGGGTCTCAACTCCCTTGATGATGGCAAGAGCGCAGATCGACGGTCGATACGAGTCGTAGAGATTGCAGCTCATCGCATTGCCCGAGCCGCAGGGAATATGCGAGACAGCAATCTTGTGTAGCGCTTGCGACGCATCGGGCCGCTGACCCAGACCATTGAATACCTCGTGGGCCAAACCATCACCAGAGCAGGTGACAATCGTGTCGAACGCGTCCACGTCGACTTCCCGCGCTATTTCAAGAGCTTGGCCTGAGTAGGTGGTGTGCTCCACGTCTATGGGCATGCGCGCCGCCTTGAACAGAGGCTCGACGTCTACGCGCCACTTCTTTTCCGCGCCTCCCGGTCCGGCATGCGGGTTAACCAAGACCTTTGCTCTCTTGCATAGTTTCGCCGGGCCATATGCCTTTCTCATGAGGGTATCGATCCAGGACTTGACATCCGGGCTCTCCGTGTCGTTAACCGTAAAAGTCCATTTCGCTGCCTGTACTCGTTGCTTGCCGGCTTGTTTCGCGTAGTCGATTGTGAGGGTCTCTCCCGTCTGGTCGGCCCAGAGGACGTTGTACAAGGGGACGGTTTGCGTCGAGGGTGCTGCATTTTGCGGACTAGTGTTAGCAAGCTGGGAATGGGGGCCACGGAGGTCAATGACAACGGACCTGATGCGCCAAACCCAGCAAAACCGCAAGTCCGGTTGGCTTTGTTCGCTGTTGGGTCTTTGAAAAGGGGTCAGCTACCCGAGCGCATCGCCACAAGGTAGGTATATTGCAGGTTCCCACACACCATTCAGAAGGAGATTCTCCGACGTTTGAGTCAAAGATTTGTTGCCGTCGACCTTGATCGTCTCTGGTGGGCCGTTTCTAGAGGCGGGCTTGCCGTAGGACTGGGAAGACTCGGAGATGGACTCGGTCCCGTTCGGGGCCGTATTGTGTTCCCCTGCGAGGGTGGCCATCGCGAAGTGTGCAAAGGTTGATTAAGCGACAGACGAGCAGAAGCTGGCGGAACAGGCCGTTCACGTCAGGCGAGAGACAGAGTTATAGGCGAGCGAAGGTGATGAAGATGCAAAAGGAGATCGGTCAGTACTAGCAGATGTCGCGACGAGACATGGTAGTCAGTCGTTGACTAGTTGTTGGTAACGGACGCTACAGCGGCTGCTGTTGATGGGGTGGTCACAAGCTCCCGGGGGTTGCGGGAGGGAAGAGAAGAGAAGAAGAGAATAAAGGTGAATTATTACTGCGCCGTTGTACCAAGCCGTAGGAGGAACTTGGGAAGAGAGGCGTTGGCGCAAGCGGAATAGGAATAGTTGAAAGGGAGTTGGGTTAGTCGGAGGCTAAGAGCACGTCCCGAGGCCCGTCGTCGACGAGGGAGAGGATTGAAGTCCAGGAAGGGAAATCGAACTTTGGTGCTAGTTGTGCTGGTGTATGCAGTGAGGTACCTTTACTGAGGAGCTGTAGGTCCAAGCAGAGAATTGAAGCGATACCCAGGGGGGGAGCAACAAGCGACAAGCAACAGGAAAGAAAGTTACAAGAGTACAAAACATCCAAGCCGACGCTGTTCTGCTGCTGCAGGAAGGATGGCACGGTCACCCACCGGCAGCGGCAGCACGGATGAATCGGAGATTGAACTTCAGTTGCACTTGGTTCGGATAGGGCACTACTTGCTTTTCAATCATACCTACGTTGCATCTCATGTACCTCCCTAATGTGGTGGGCATTGATAGCAGAAATACGATAAGGTAAGCAAGCACGCGCAACACCAAGGAACCTGGCACCATGAGAATTGCATGGCACGGATGCGCGCTGTAGCTGGCCACGAGTTAAGGTACTTAGCACTTTAGGTACCGAAGCCGTTACCCAGGGGCCCGCGGCGCCCGTAGCGGCCGCCTGACCACGGCGGAGGTGCTCCCCCGGACGCACATCACACTCGTGATGCAACCGTAGGTACGGATAGATGCAACCATTCGAAGAGAGGGCGTCGATGGAAACCGAGATGTTCAGGCTTGGGAGGCATTGTGAGGTTGGCATGTGAGGTGCCTTTGGGGATGTAACTCCCCGTAAAGTCGGGCTGGACAGGTGACTGGAGGTGATGTAGACATCCCAATCGAGGTAGGTACAGCAGGCCAGGGCCGGACCAAACACCTTATCTAGGAGTGGCTTGAGGGGAAATGGACGCCAACAATGCGACACGTCTGT